CTGGAGTCACATGGAGAGGGCTGGCGCAGGCCACCTGCCCCCTTTCTTACACGGACAAGCACCTGGGCCGGCCGGGACGCTGTCTGCTGCCCGCACCCTGTGACGTACACGCCGTGCCCCCCATGGTCGGGCCACAGCCTGGGAAACCTGGGCTCCCAGCACAGGTTCCGTGTAAAGGATGGCTCCGCATCCTGCAGGCTGGCTTTGTCCACCTCTCAGGGCCCTGTCCCTCGGTGTCCCTCCTGCACGGGATGCGTGTTCCTGCAGAACAGCTTGAGGGAAGCAGCGAGAGGCGGAGCCTCTTCCTCGGGGCCCAGCCCAGAGGACGTTGTTTGCAAGGTCACAATCCAGTGCATTTGCCCGATGCCTTCATGGGGGATCAACAGACACTTCACTTCACACAGGTCTGCAGAGCAGAGCGGCCTGGCCCATAGAGCCAAGCTGCATCTCAGCAGCCCCAACCATCTGTCATTGAACCTTGTTTCTGGAAGTTTCTTCTCTTCAGCCAGCACCCTGTCCCTCCCACAGGAGTCCTTTCTCTCTGTGAGTCAGTGTTGTGTGCTGCTTAATGCTCTCCAGCCGGCGCTACTCCATTGTGGTCCCTGGACCCGTGTGGGCATCACCTGGGAGCCTGTGAGACTTGCAGTCTGAGGCCCCTCCCCCAAGCTGCTGCCTCAGAGTCCCGGGCCGGGGTCAAGCAGCTTGAGTCTGATCCAGTCCTTCCCAGTCAGTCATCGTGTCACAGCTCCACGTCCTGTCTGCGCTGGCCATTGGGACTCTCGTGGGCAGCAGGGACAGGAAGTTGATGTCCACAGACTGTGGTGATAAGGCGCTTATGCTTGGGGCTGAAATGCTATTGTGTGGTTGGTTCAAATTCATTCAACCCATTAATTAAAGTGCCTACTCTGTGCAAAGAGCACTTTCAGACCAGCTGCTCTTCTCACTCACAGAGAGAAGGCTCAGGGAGGCCCAGGGGAATGAAGGGCCTACTGCTTTGCCTGTGGTTTCACTCCCTTTTGTCTTCACAGGCCTTGATCTGTTCCTCCTTCATCCCTTTCTTCTTTGGCTTAATCCCTCCGACCTTCAGAGGCGTGGTAAGTCTGCTCTTAAACTGTGTTCGCAGGGTGCTGGGTGCAGGCATCCTAGGTCCCCAAAAGCAGAGCCCTGTGTCTCTCAGCCTGAACCAGAGATTCCATCGCTGCCCCTCCATTCCCACCCACCCCCAGCCCAACCACCTTCCCCAAGAACCCACTACCTGGCTTTCTGCTAGACAGGCTGCTTCACTGCATTTTTGTTGTTAAGCCTCAGCAGAAGGTATTTTTTCCATTGATTGTTAGAGCGGAAGGGATGAGGGAGGGGAGAGATAGCTGGATGGATGGATGGATGGATGGATGGTTAGATAGATATCGATAGATAGATGGAGAAACATCGTTGTGAGAGAGACACATCAATTGGGTGCATCCAGCACTCAGAGCGAGGCCGGGGATCTATCATGCAGCCCCGGTAGGTGCCGATGACCAGGAATGGAGCCCGAGACCTGTGGTGCTCGGGCTGACACTCTAACCACCGACACACACCGGCCAGGGCAGGGTCACTTCATCTTCCCCTGCGCACCGGGGACAGGTGCCCGGGGGCCTAAGACTCAGCCACTCCCTTAAGCCGAGCTTCGCTCTCAGGGTGGAGCGATTCAGTTCCCTCTGGGACTGACTGACTGTCCTTCCAGCCCATGGCTTGGGGCAGAGCTGCTGACAGAGCTACGGTTCAGTTCCATCGGCAAACACTCGCTGTAGGCACATGCGGCTGATGGCGAGCCCTGTCCGGCAGAGTCCGAGTGGAGCGTGTGCTCTGCGGGCTCTGGGCTGCGTGCTGGGCTGTGCAGCACCAGGGCAGCTCCTTCCTGGGCAGCCGTCACCCACTGAGATGATTGCCTGCCCCCCTCCCCCCACCCGGACATCTGTCCTGTCTGCGGACAGTTGAGGATGTCACAATAGGGGACACTGGTTTGACAGGTGCAGACTCTCCACATTGTACCGGCCCCGCCTGCCCAGCCGCAGGTGTTGACAGAGGCTCCCCAAGCCCGTCCTCCCCCATAGCCTCTGCCCATAATCTGAGCACCGCGGACCCTGCCAGAGCCTCTGACCGGACGTGTTTCTCTCTCCCTCACAGCGGTACGTGGATGGAGGGTTTACTGACATTAGATCCTGCTTTGATGACAAGATGACCATCACTGTGTCCCCGTTCCTTGGGGAGCATGACATCTGTCCTAAGGTCAAGTCCACGAACTTCCTGCATATAGACGTGTGCAGTCTCAGTCTCCGCTTCTGCTTGGAAAACGTCCACCTGATCAACCAAGTCCTGTTCCCCCCGGATGTGAAGGTGAGTGGGGCTGTTTGTTCTGGGGGCTGCAGCTCCGTGCTCTTGTTTGCTTGGGGACCCAGCAGTGTCTCTACGCAAACCAACCAAAGCTGACCCCTCAATGAATAGGGACCGGAGAAGAGTCACTTGTCCCTGAAGGTCAGTGGTGCCCCAGGAGGGCTTCCAGGAGGAGGTGTCCCCGAATCACCTGGGGACATTAAACTCTGCTGCCCCTCAGGACTGTGGTTCTAGTGCAGTCGACCTTCCTGCTCCACAGGTTTCCCACCTGTGGATTCAACCAACCACACATCAAAAATATTCTAGCCCTAGTTGGTTTGGCTCAGTGGATAGAGCATTGATTGACCTGTGGACCAAAGGGTCCTGGGTTCAATTCAGGTCAAGGGCACATACCTCGGTTGCAGGCTCCTCCCCAGCCTGGATCTGGCCGTGCTTGTGCAGGCAGAAACTAATCGATGTGTTTCTCTCTGCCCTCTCTCTTCCACTCTCTGAAATTCAATGGAATAATATCCTTGGGTGAGGATTTAAATATATATATATATACTAGAGGCCTGGTGCACAAAAATTTGTGCACTCGGGGGGGGAGGGGGGTCCCTCAGCCCGGCCTGTGCCCTCTCGCAGTCTGGGACCCCTCAGGAGATAACGACCTGCTGGCTTAGTCCTGCTCCCGGGTGGCAGAGGGCAGGCCCAATCCCTAGGTGCAGCCCCTGGTCAGGCTAAGAGCAGGGCCAATTGGGGAGCTGGGGCGCCGCCCCCTGTCATGCACAGAGCAGGGCGGATCCGGAGGTTGCAATGCCACCCTCAGTCACGCTCAGGGTAGGGCTGATTTGGGGGTTGGGGCACCGCCCCCTGTCACACTCAAGGCAGGGTCGATGGGGAGGTTGCGGAGCCACCCCCTGTCACGCACAGAGCAGGGCCCATCAGGGGGTTGGGGCTCTGCACCCTGTCATGCACAGAGCAGGGCCATCAGGGGGCTTGGGAGCTCCCTACCCTGTCACGCACAGAGCAGGGCCCATCAGGGGGTTGAGGAGCTCCCCCCTGTCACTCACAGAGTAGGGCCAATAGGGGAGTTGGGGCACCGCCCCCTGTCACACACAGAGCAGGGCGGATCAGGGGGTTGGGGAGCCGCCCTCTATCACCCACAGAGCAGGGCCGATCAGAGGGTTGGGGCACCGCCACTGTCACACTCAGGGCAGGGCCGATGGGGAGGTTATGGCTCTACCCCATCACACACAGAGCAGGGTCCGTGGGGGGGGGGGGGCGTTGCACCCTGTCACACACAGAGCAGGGCTGATCAGGGGGTTGGGGCACCGCAGCCTGTCACACACAGAGCCACAGGGCCATCAGGGCTTTGGGGAGCTCCCCCCTATCAGGCACAGAGCAGGGCTGATCTGGGGGTTGGGGCGCCTTCCCCTGTCATGAACAGAGCAGGGCGGATAGGGAGGTTGTGGCCCCGCCCTCTGTCACACACAGAGCCGCAGGGCGATCAGGGGGTTTGGGCACTGCCCCCTGTCACGCTGATCCCGGTGCCAGGAGGCCTTGTGGCTCCGCTGATCCCGGTGTTGGGAGGCATATTACCCTTTTATTATATAGGATAGAGGCCTGGGGCACGGGTGGGTGCCGGCTGGTTTGCCCTGAAGGATGTCCTGGATAAGGGTGGGGGTCCTCACTGGGGTGCCTGGCCAGTCTGGGTGAGGGGCTTAGGGCTGTTTTCAGGCTGGCGGGTGACTAAAACTCCCAACTGCTCCTTTTTTTTTTTTTTTTTATTCTGGGCCAGCTTTAGCTCTGAGGCTTGGCTCCAGCTCTTATGCATCTGCTGCTGAAAGCAGGTATCTGGTTTGTTTGGGTTCTATAATTGAAACACTGTTTCAACTCCAGCTCTGAGATCCCGGCTGGCTGAAAGCAGGTTTCTGGGGGTTTGTTCAGCTTCTAAATTTGTAACAATGTTTCAAATTGCAAGCTCAGAGGCTGGCAGCGGCAGGCAGGGAACGTTGGAGTCCTCCGTCACTGAAGCAAGCAAGCCTCATGTTCGCTTCAAGCTGCCTGGCTGCCGGCCGCCATCTTGGCTGGCAGTTAATTTGCATGTTGCCCTGATTAGCCAATGGGAAGGGTAGCGGAGGTACGGCTAATTACCATGTTTCTCTTTTATTAGATAGGATACACACACACACACTAGTGTGTGTGTGTGTATATATATATATATATATATATATATATATATATATATATATATATATATTAGAGGCCTGGTGCATACATTCGTGCACTGTGGGGGCGGGGAGGGTGCCCTCAGTCCAGCCTTCACCCACTCACAGTCTGGGACCCCTCAGGAGATGTCATTGGACCTAAGCCAGCAGTCGGAAATTCCCCGAGGGGTCCTTAGAACAGCAGCGGAGGCAGGAGAGGCTACCATCACTACTGCTGTGCTGGCCAGCCGTGAGCCCAGCTTCTGGCCATGAGCCCACAGGGGGAGCACACTGACCACCAGGGGGCAGCTTGTGCATTGAGCGTCTGCCCCCTGGTGTTCAGTGCACGTCATCGCGACCGGTCGTTCCGCCGTTTGGTCAATTTGCATATTAGGGTTTTATTATATAGGACTAGAGGCCCAGTGCACAAATTCGTGCAAAGGTGGGGTCCCTCGGGGTGGCCTGCGGGGATCGGGCCAAAACCAGCAGTTCAACACCGCCTGCCACTCCTGCCTGCCACGCCTGCTCATCCTAGCCCTACTGCACCTGCCACAGGCTCACACCCTGTCAGTCACGATCGGGAGAGGCTCGCACCGCCCAGCAGTGCTCACTAACTGTGAGCCCTGCACCCAAGGGGGGGCGGCCTGGGAAGTGATCAGCCCTCCAGGCAGGAGGTGGTGCTTGCCGGCGGGGGATCAGGATCCATCCCGCTGACGTTCATACCATTTGTTGGGAGCCACCTGGTGGCCGCTTTTATATTGTTTCATCTTTGCTGAGCTTCTAGGGAGGGGAAGCGGCCATGGCGCCTGAGGCCGACTTCCAGGAGGCCGGTGGTGCTGTTGGGGATCTTGCCAGCGGAGTGGTCTGTCAGTGCCTGGCCCGTTCTCCGGAGACTGGACCTGCAGGACTACTGAGGGAGTGTGGTGGGCCGCCGGGACGGGTTGGTCAGCTGAGGGCACTCCTGCTGTGGGAGTGCACTGACCACCAGGGGGCAGCTCCTGCATTAAGCGTCTGCACCTTGGTGGTCAGTGTGCATCATAGCGACCGGTCGTTTGGTTGCTTAAGCGCGCGTGTGTGTGTGTGTGTGTGTGTGTGTGTATTCCAGAAAGTCCCAAAATGCAAAACTTGAATTTGCCCCCTCGCCGCACCCTACCCTGAATCCACAGAGTGACGTGGAGTCGGGTGCCTGCTGCAGCCTGTGTGCAAACCCTGCACCATTTACGTGAGGGACTAGAGCGTCCATGAATGCCGGTGCCTGAGAGGAGCCCTGGACCAGTCCCAGATCCTGGGGAGACTGTTTATGGGTGCAGCCTGGGCGGTAGGATGTGTCGCGTTACCCACATGATCTTATTCGTGGCCACGGTCACGAACCACGCAGCACTGTGGTGGCTGTAGTATGCCTTCCCACCCCAACAGTAAGGGGGTGTGTGGACATGGGCCCTAACGGGGCTTGGGGGCCCAGGAGGCTGCAGGGAAGTGGGCAGGACAGTGAGCAGCCCGCAAGGGCTCCCCCTGGAGGCAAGGCCGGGCACCAGCTGGTTGGTGTGGGTGGTTTGTGCACAGAGCAGGGGAGGCAGCTGAAACTGTCCCCCAAGGACCAGGACAGGCCTGTCATGCTGGGTGACAGCAAAGGCCCCATGGAGGGGTGTCGTTCCTGCCCAGTCCCTTGTCCGGCCATGCCCGGCCCATGGAGGCAGCTCAGAGTTTGAAGGAGTCTTCAGTTTAAATGAACGAGGCTTAGCGAGTCAGCCGGGAGTTCACTTACTTGCCTGGCTTACAGGTGCTGGGAGAGATTTGCCTGCGAGGGTACTTGGATGCGGGCAGGTTCCTGGAAGAAAAAGGTACGTATGAGCTGGGGAGCAGACGAGCCCTTTTCTCTAAAAAAAGAAAAGAAAAAAAATATATGGTTTTATTGGTTTCAGAGAGAGGGAGAGGGAGGGAGAATCCGCAGTTCGGGCAGTGCGCTGGCCGGGAACAGAACCGTGCCCTCCGGGTTCATGGGTTGAGGCTCGTCCACTGAGCCACACTGGCTGGGCCAGATGAGCCCTTGGCCTCCGCTGTTGGTCAGCAGCCTTGGAAAGCCCCAGGGCCTGTGCCCTCACTCGGTGAGGAGTCGGGCTCCTGACACATTCGCGTGGAACCCACCGTAAGATGTGTTCGGAGCTGCTTTTCTTCGATGCTGCACGTTGGCTCCTGTATTGACCGCGTCCATTAGCCTGAGGCCGAGACCAAGGAGCCCGTCTGGTCACCAGGACCTGCACGTGTTACCCACTCAGGAAGTGTCCATTGTGTCCCTTCCAGGTGCCACGCACGTGGCTGAGTGCGGGGGGCCCTGCCACCAGGAGCTCACTCTGGGGATGGATGACGTGTGGAGGGATGACATGCAGAGGGCGGGACAGGATGTGGGCTGCTACAGGGCCACACAGGAGGGAGCTGCAAGGCCTGGGGGAAAGGAGGGCTTCCAGGAGGAGGTGACTCCACTTTGGAGATGGATAGGAGGGGAAAAGGCCTGTGTAACTGCAGTGGCTGAGAGATGGACAGAGGAGAGGCGCAAGCTGGGCCCCGTGCGCGTGGTGAAGCCTGCACTGCAGCAGTAGGGAGCCACGGAGGGCTGCTGAAGCAGGAGGGAGGGAGGCCAGAGGGGAGCGTGGGAAGGCCCCTCTGGATGTCTGGTGGCCGCTGGCCTCCTGTCATGAGTGGGTGGGTGTGTGAGTCATGCCCCCTGTCTCCGTGCCCCGCGTAGGCATCTGTGACAGGCCCCGTCCTAGCCCGAGTGTGCCCTCGGCAGCGCCCGAGTTCCTTCCGTTCTCCTGGGAAACCGCGAGCCCCGAGGCTTCCCCGGGGGCGGCTGCCTGGCAGGGGAGGCCCGAGGTGGCCGAGCTGCTGGCCCACCTGCGTGTCAGCCTCCGGCCCTGGGACGAGAGCATCCTGGAGACCCTGTCGCCCAAGCTCATTGCAGGTGAGACGCCTCTGGCGGGACGGCAGGGTGCTGCTCTCTGTTGCTGAGGCTCAGAGGGCTTCTCTCCGGGTTGGGGAGGAGGTGATGCTGCCACGGGGAGGAGAGGAGGCCCCACCTCCTGGCACCATCTCCCCACCCGGGCGCCTTGCTCAGCCTCCCTTCCCCGCGTGCACGGCCAGAAAAAGCCACACTCCTGGTGAGCCCGTTGGGAGTTAAGCGGGCATGCGCCCAGTTCCTGGGTCCGGGCGCACCCAGACCACCATTCTTCCAGAACACCATTCTCTGCCTGGGCCCCGTCTCCACGCCTTCTTTCTGGAGGAGCCTGTCTGCCTCCCCTTCCCCGAACCCTCAGCTTTGAACTTGTCCTTGAACGACGGTAGTGCATTTGATCATGTCGTCAGACACCAGATGGGCCAGGAGTGCAAATCGGGTACTGGGAGAAATTCAAAGATAAACACGACGCTGGTGCCCAGGTTGCTACGATTTGAGGGTCCTGAGGCCACGACGAAGGGGAAACAGAAGCCAGGGCTCCAGGCAGAAGAGGGCGTGTTGGGAAAGCCCGTAAGGCGGGTGGGGTTGGGGGTCGGTGCCTCCTCCAGGGAGAGCTGCCAGTGGGACAGTTGATCCGGGGCGTGGCTGTCCCAGGGCTGTTCAGGCCGCACTCCCTGATCCATGGCATGGGCCCGGCTTCTGATTCTTTGGCAGCAGGATTTGTGTGTTTCACTGGAATTGCAGGCAGCACCTGGTGAGGTTACACTGGGGGGGACGCCCCTCCCCCCAATGGTATCTTTCAGGCCTGAGTGAGGCATGTAGACCCCGAGGTGGCCGCTGGAGCAAGATCTGCAGCTTCCTACCAGTGAAGGTCATGTCTTACGTGATGCTGCCCTGTACGCTGCCCGTGGAGACCGCGCTCGCGGTGGCCCAGAGGTGAGCAGTGTGGGCGGCTTTGTGTCTCGGCGGTTGAGTGAGGGTTAAGGGAGAGTTCACCTAAGGCCCCACGCCTGGGCCTGGCTCCTGTGCAGGGCAGTAGGGGTCACAGTCTATAGGGTCTGTTCCTGAGAGGTGCCTCGTGCTGAGGCCTGGCCCAACCCACCTCCTTTCTTTTTATTCATTTTTTATTGTTTGATTTTAGAGAGTGGAAGGGGAAGACAGAGAGAAGGGGGAGAGAGAGAGAGAGAGAGAGAGAGAGAGAGAGAGAGAGAGAAAGAGATCATTTTGTTGTTCCACCCCATTTATGCATTCATTGGTTGATTCCTGTGTGTGCCCTGGCCAGTGATTAAACCCACAACCTTGTCCCACCCAGATGATGCTCTCAGCCAACTGATCTACCGGGTCAGGGCTGTCACCTCCTTTGCCGTTGCTGTTGTAGGCTTGTCACTTCTTGCAGTTCCGCCCTTTTATTTGGGGACTGTATCCCGGGGAAGGAGGGACTTGAGGCAAACAGGTGTGCACCCGGAGTCCTGGGCATTCATTTTACTCAGCTTTCTTCCAGCTGGCTTGGGTGTTTACTTCCTTTTTAGTGGGTTAACCTAGGGTGTCCATCTTACTGGTATATTTGACTAGAGGCCCGATGCACGAATATTCATGCAAGAGTAGGCCGTCCTTGCCCCAGCTGCCAGCACCGGCTTCCTCCGAAAGGACATCCGGAATGATGTGCGGTCTAATTAGCATATTACCCTTTTATTATTATAGATTTTATTATTTAAATTTATCTCTATTGTTGAAAGTATTATAGATGTCCCCTTTTCCCCCCAGTGGCCCCCTCCACCCTGCTCCCACCTCCTCCCCCCACTTTTGTCTGTCCGTGAGCTGTGCATACATGCACATAAATGGATTAGCCTCTCCCCCTTCCCTCTAAATATGTCAGTCTGTTGCCTGCTTCGATGTCTAGATATTTTTTGTTCATCAGTTCAGTTTATTTCATTCATTAGCTTCCACATAGGAGTGAGATCATGGGAACTTGTCTTTCTCTGACCGGCTTATTTCACTTAGCGTAACACCTCTAGGCTGTTCAAAGGGTATGAGATCGTACTTTTTACTGCTGTGTAGTATTCCATGGTATAAATATTCCACAGCTTTTTTATGACTTATCTGCTGATGGGCACTTGGGCTGTTTCCAAATCTTAGCTATTGTGAATAACACCGCTATGAATGTAAGGGAGCATACATTCTTTCTGATTGCTGTTTCTGGCTTCTTAGGGTATATTCATAGACGTGGGATCACTGGGTCAAATGGGAGTTCCATTTTTAATTTTTTGAGGAAACTCCGCTCTGTTTTCCATAGTGGCTGCACCAGTCTGCATTCCCACCAGCAGTGCACGAGGGCTCCCTCTTCTCCAAATCCTCACCAGCACTTGTCGTTTGTTGATTTGTTGATGGTAGCCATCCTGGCAGGTGTGAGGTGGTACCTCATTATCATTTGGATTTTCATTTTTCTGATGATTAGTGACGCTGGGCATTTTTTCACGTGTCTCTTGGCCATTTGTATGTCCTCTTTGGAGAAGTGTCTATTCAGGTCTTCTACCCATTTTTTAATTGGACTGTTTGTCTACCACTTGTTGAGTTAGATGAGTATTTTATACATTTTTGGAAAACCCCTTAGCAGATGTATCAGTGGCAAATATGTTCTCCCATGCAGTGGGCTCCCTTTTCATTTTGATGCTGGTGTCTTTGGCTGTGCAGATGCTTTTTATTTTGGTATATTCCCTCTTGTTTAGTTTTTCCTTTGTTTCTCTTGCCCTAGGTGATGCATTTTGAAGTCTTTTTCGTCAGATATGAGTATTGCTACCCCAGGTTTTTTTCTTTCATTTCCATTGGCATGGAAAATTCTTCCATCCCTTCACTTTCATCCTTTGGAGTCTTTTGTTCTGAGGTGGGACTTTGTAGACAGCCTACATATGGGTTACATTTTCCACCCATTCAGCCACCCTATGGGTTTGATTGGAGCATCTGAGCGTTTACATTTGAGGTTATTACAGATGGGTGCTCATCTGTTCCCATTCTTATTCTTTATGCTGGTATTTCCCCGCCCCCCCCCCGCCCCCCCATTTCTTCTTACAACAGTCCCTGTAGCATTTCTTGCGGTTTTGGTTTGGCGGCGATAAACTATCTTAGCCATTTTTTGTCGGCGAAGCTATTTATTTCACTTTCAATTTGGAATGATAGCCTTGCTGGTTAGAGTAGTCTTGGATTCGGTCCCTTGCTTTTCATTACTTTGTATACGTCATGCCAGTCCCTTCTGGCCTGAAGTGTTTCTATTGAGAAATCAGCTGACGGTCTAATGGGAGCTCCCTTGTAGGTAACTTTCTGTGTCTCTCTTGGTTCCTGTAAGATTCTTCGTCTTTAACGTTTGCCATTTTAATTTTGATGTGCCCAGGTGTGAGTCTTTTTGGGTTCATCTTGATTGGGACTGTCTGTGTTTCCTGAACTTGAGTGCTTCAGTCCATCTTTTAAAGTCCAACCCATCCTTCAAAATCCAGCTCCGTTCGTCCACCCATGGACCTTCCCAGGTCCCTTCCCACCCCAACAAATTAACATCCTGTTCCCACACCATCTTTCCCTGTGCGGAAGTTCAGGCACTTATCAAAGCCCAGGCATGGGCCCTAGCCCGTTTTGCTCAGTGGATAGAGCATCGGCCTGCGGACTGAAGGGTCCTGGGTTTGATTCCGGTCAAGGCACATGCCTGGGTTGTGGGCTCAATCCCTAGTAGGGAGCACACAGGAGGCAGCCAATCAATGATTCTCTCTCATCATTGATGTTTCTATCTCTCTCCGTCTCCCTTCCTCTCTGAGATCTATTTTAAAAATTAAAAAGAGTTCTGTGCCTTCACTCAGCTTAAAAAAAAAAAAAAGGCCAGGCGTGGGGTCCTTTGGGGTCCAGGGGCAGGGAGTCTGTGGAGGCCGTGGTCAGGCTTCCCCTGCTGGACTTGCATGTGGACACGTGCAGTCGGGCTGGTGGAGGGGGTGGTGTCTCCACTCCAAGCTTCAGGCATCTTGCCTCGGACAAGCAGAATCCGGGAAATCCAGCCTTCTCCTGCGATTCCCATGGAAACCCCTCGAGCTTTCCTGACTAAAGAGCGGCCGAAGTTTGGGGCTTTTAGGTTGGCTTGTCCGAACCCACCTTCTGAGGATTTATCCGATTGGGATTAGACGTGAGCCCCGCAGTTTAGTGGCACAAGGGGCCTGTTGTTAAGCTGGCTGCCTTTCGTTCAGCTTTTGTTTGGTTCTCTTCGTTTGGCTCATCTTCCTGCTGACACTGTATGTGTGTGTGTGTCTGTCTGTCTGTCTGTCTGCTTTTATCCTGCAGGCTGATGCTGTGGGTTCCCGACATCCCTGCCGACGTCCGGTGGCTGTTGTCCATCACCTCCCAGGTTTGTTCTCGAGGGATGATGCATCTGCTCCCCACGTCCTCGCGGGTGTAGATGGACAAAGAGAGAAACAGCTGTTGCTGTGTGTCAGTTACTCTTATTGAGTTTTATTGATATTCCGAAGCTCTGTCCTCTGACAGGGCCTAGAAGCCCAAATGTGCCGGGAGCCGGTCCATGCTTGCTGTTTCAAGGGACCTGGCATATATGGCATACTGTTCTTAATATGTTTGCTCACCTTCTTGGCACTATGTGTTTTAACCAAGGTCTCTGAGAAAGGGTGTTTCCCCAGGTAGGGATTTTCCCCTGAAGTTAGGGAGGGAATAAAACCTCTTAACTAAGTGCCAGGCGGGTAATTAATCACTTTAACTATGAACAATCATGCTTAAGCTACATAATCTTTACTCCCTGGAATGGAGATAAGAAACGCCCTAACCTTTGTAATAGAGATTGATAGGATTGAATCAACTGGTATAAATACAGATGTAATAAGACAGCAAGAGACAGAACTTGGAACACAGAACTTAGAATACGGAACCAAGGGAGACAGAACCTAGGCACAGAACCTACACAGAACGTTCTCTAGAGACAGAAGAACTTCGCTGGAGAGAACATGGCAAAAGTTCCTGGACAGAAACTGGCCTCAGAACCTAGAGACAGAACCTAGCGAGAGAACATGGCAAAAGATCCTGGACTGAACCTGACTATAGAAATTGGCAAGAGAACCTGACTAGAACCTGGTGACTGAACCTGGCTGGAGAACCTAGTGAGGGAACATGGCTACAGAACCTGGCTGGAGAACCTAGCAAGAGAACATGGACACAGAACCTGGCTGGAGATCCAGACCAGAACTTGGCTGGAGATCCTGGCTAGAGATCCTGGCTAGGCTGCTGATCAACTGAACACTGTCTCCGTGTCCTTCCTTCTTCGCCGACTCTGTCCACGCCTTTGGGGACCCCTGGACCTGCTGGGGTTGGACCCCGGCACAAAAGGAATGAGCACACCCAGCACCAAGACCTTGGTTTCTAAACACCATTCCCCGCAAACAGGGGAAAACTCTGGGGGAATGACTGATTGCGGGGCCGAGCAGGACAAGCACAGGGTGAGCCTGGAACATCGGACCGCAGAAAGCAAGTGTTGAAGGAAAGACGGAGACTTGTCCAAAGGATTCAGGAGCCAGCTTGGCTAACTCTGGGACAGAGTGGACACCAAAACACATCATTTGAATAACAGATTGTTCGCGGAATCGGAGTCTAGCCCGGCCAGTGAGGCTCAGTGGATTGAGCGTCCCCCATGCACCAGAGGAGCCTGTGAGTCAATAAATGAGATGAAGGAATAAATACAAGGAGGACAAGACAAAGCTCTCCCCTATGTTAAGTGCTAAGTGATCACCGTAGAGAATGGACAATCCCTTTGCAAGATTCTCGATAATAAAGGCGTTAGCCAATAATCATCAATAGAGGCCAGGAACAGGATATTGACTTGGTTTCAGAGTATCGCCCTCACATTGACTATTAATTACAAAAGTAAAACATAGGTTACAGGGAGTTAACCTTGCAAATACAACCATAACCAAGTATCACATTTATATAGTCACAATAATGGGACAGACTGAGATCACCTGCCTCCAGATATGATCCCCTAAGGAGGACACGCATGTGAAAGACTGAATGACCCTCCAAGATGTCCCATCCTAACACTCATAATCCGAGAACATGTTATCTTACGTGTCAAAGATCTTTTTGACAAAGATGTGATTAAATTAAGAATCTTAAAAATAGGGAGGTTATTCTCGATTACCTTGTGGGGGCATGTAATTGTACTTCTACCTCACACATAGAGAGAGAGGCAAAGGCGTCTAAAGATCCCGCAGAGCTGACTTTGAAGATGAGGAAGGGGCCACGAGCCAAGGACTGTGGGCGCCTCTAAAAGGCAGGGAGATGGGTTCTCCCTAAGGGCTCCAGAAGGAGGCAGCCCCGCGGACACTGTGACTGTGACCCAGTGAACCCACTGCAGACTGCGACCGCCCACACTGCGACCCAGGAAACCTGTGGTTTTCTTAGCCACTCAGTGTGTGGTCATTTGTTCCAATGGCAACAGGAAACCAATGCACATCACTTCTGTAGAATTCTGGGCGAAGATGCATAATTTGAGTGAAATTATGAGGAAACATAATTTAAGGGATTAAATACGGTTAAGGGACATTGTACTAATAACCTGCCTGTACCCTTTTCTTTTCTTTTTTTTTTTTTTTTTTTTTTGGTTAATCCTCACCCAAGGACATTTTTTCCATTAATTTTAAGGAAGAGGTGAAGGGAGAGGGGAAGGAGGAAGAGAGAGAGCAAGAACAGGAGAGAAACATCAATGTGAGAGAGACACATGGATGGTTGCCTCCTACAAGTGCCCTGACTGGGGCCAGGGATCAAACCCGCAATCCACCTACCTGCCCTTGACTGGGAAGCTAATCCACGACCCTTCAATGTGAGGGCCAGCGCTCTAACCACTTGCCACCCGGGCCAGGGCATTTGAAAAAAGTTAAGATCATGAAAGACAAAGGCAGTTTAGCCCTAGCCAGTTTGGCTCAGTGGATAGAGTGTTGGCCTGCAGACTGAAGGGTCCCAGGTTTAATTCTGGTCAAGGGCACAAGCCCAGGTTGCAGGCTCGATCCCCAGTAGGGGGGGCGTGCAGGAGGCAGCCAATCAGTGATTCTCTCTCATCATTAATATTTCTATCTCTCCCTCTCCCTTCCTCTCTGAAATCAATAAAAGTATATATTAGAAAGAAAGAAAGACAAGGGCAGTTTAAAGGAGACCAAAGGGACATGGAACTTAGGGCAGTCCCTGGCCCTTGACCTGAAACTGGCCTGAAGGAACAAGTGACAGAATTTCCGTGTGAGCTGAGAATTAAATAGCGCTGTGCTGGTGATACACTTTCCAAGTTTGCAAAGTCCTTGTTCGTAGAAAAAACACCGAGATACTTAGGAGTAAAGAGACATGGTGTCCCAACCCAATTATTGCTCCAGAAAATCAGTCTCTAGCGCCATCTGTCCTTCCCTCTGCCTGCGTGACTATCGAGCAAAGGTTTCTGTGGCAAAGGTCGCTGGTTGGAGACTCTGAGCGAAGGGGACATGGGCCTGGGGTTTGCGCATGTGGTCAGTGAGCCACAGGCCCAGGCGCCTGGGAAACAGGAGAAGGAGCGGCTGGCGGCCCCAGACCCGGCAGCAGACAGAACCTGCCCCTCCCTGCCCCCAGCTCCGGCTCCATCCGGGCTGCCTCACGGGCTCCTAGTGGGTCAGCATCTCCCCAGAGTGTTCCCCCAGAACCTGAGACCCAGACTGGAGAGCCGGACTCGCGGCTCCCTGGGGCCCGCAGAGGCCTCTGCTTGAGAGAAGTCACTGCCCCCCTGGGCCTCAGTCCCCCAATGCAAGTCGGGAAATTGACCTGCAGCCTTTGTAAGAATGAGGTCCGACTTAGCACACACGCAGGCCCTGGGCGTCCTGTGGATGGCTGTCCATCCGTCGATGGACAAAAGGCAGAGTGGCCATGAGCTGCTGGGGCTCCGGTCACTGTGGAAAAGGGGGAGCAGTGTGTGGGGCACAGCAGGCACTAGGAAGCGCGTGTCCTGTGGGTGCGCAGCGTCCTGTCCACCTGCAGCGCAGGCTGGCGTGGCCGGGCGGCCCCTCCCCACGGCCCAGGCCCAGCATGGAGCCCGGTGCACAGGAGGTGCTTGTGCCAGGAACACGCTGTCCCAGGAGGTGGACAGAAACAGGCAGCCTGGGGCGGGGAGGCCGCCTGTGGGCCCAGCTCCAGGGGAGGCGGGCAGGGGGCAGGGGGCAGACCGCAGACCAGGACCCACTCTGAGGAGCCGAGGAGAAGCCGCCCACAGACACTGATCGAAGCCCTCAGGCCACCGGCTCTGAAGCTTTGCCACGAGACACCTGGACCCGGAGCTGCTCTGGACACACGGATGCGCGGCCAGCAGAGCTGCTGGTATGTTCAGGGCAGAGAGAGGCCAGACCCAGACAGAGAGGCCAGGAGGGGGGAGGGGATGCCCCCAGGGCTCCCTCAGCTCCCAACTCCTCATGGTCCCAGGGAGGAGGCGAGGGTGGCAAGTGCGTGTCAGGGGCCTTTCCAGGCCGGGCACCGAGCACAGGGCTTCCCAGCCGCCCTCCCAGTCCCGTGAAGCCGGGCCTTATGCCCATCTCCCAGCTGAAGGGACTGGAGCCCAGAGCTGCCGAGTGTCTTGAGCCGATGCTCCCGTGCTGCCGGCAGGATTGGAATAGACACCCCTGTGCGACTCAGCCCCGTCTCTGCTTAAGTGGCTCCTGGAGTGACAGGCGGCCTGGACCCATTTGTGTCCGGTTTCAGGGGAGAGCAGCCTCCTGGCCCTCAGCTGCCCCAGCGTCTGGACGGCTGGGCTCGGCGGCCAGCATCCATGGCCGCTCTGTGAGCCCAGTCCCTGCCTCCAATGAGGAGCACTGCGCATGTGTGCGTGTGTGAGAGGGATGGGGTTACCCTCACGGCGCCCCTCTCCCTGCGTAGGGGTGCACCGTGCTGTGAGGAGCCCGGCTGAGGAGGGTTGGGGTGCAGGAGGAGGTCGGGCCAGGACAGAGCGCTGTGCACTCACCAGCCCGTACGGACTCCGCGTGGCTGAGCAGGGCCACCTTTGTGAGCTGGGTGGGAGCAGCAGGGGGCAGGGAGGGCAGAGCCAGTGGGTGGGTAGCATGGACCCCGGGAAAGCCCAGGCGACCGAGGCCCTGTCTCTGTCCCTCCTGCACTGACTCACCTGCAGGCAGGTCCCTGGGGCCGCGTGCAGGGGCCCAGCCAGGCGCAGTCAGAGGCTGTGATGCTCTGAACCCTGGGAGGGACCCGACCGCAGCGGAGGAAGCCCAGGCCCTCACTGGCTGGGCCGCCTCGGGGGGCTCCGCCTGAGACCCCGCGGGGCCCTGGGGCCGCTAAGGACCCAGTTCATCCTCAAGGCCCCTTCCCATCCCCCCGTCCTCGGCCAGCCTTGCTGGTGAGGAGCCCTCCTTCCCACGGGCGGGGCTGACTGCTAGAGTGTTCCTCCCTGTCCCCTCGACCGCTGGTTCCAGCCCAGCCTTCTGAGAGCCCGGAGCTGACTCGCGCCCTCTGCCTGGGGCAGCCTTGCAG